GGGTTTGGGGTTTAGGCTTTAGGTCAACGCCGCCAACACCCCCAAACTCAAAACCCTAAAGGCTAAACCCTAAGGCAAAGGCCCCAACCCGAAGGCTCTTCCTAATCTAGGAATTTCGCACTCGGGCCCACAAACAACAAGCCGTAAGCCGAAAACGCGAAGCCAGATAGCAAGAGAGCCCTATAAAACCGAACCCTGCCAACCCTTGCAATTCCTTGGCTGAGCCTTGTTGCAGCTCGTAGCAACGACGCGTTGCTCCCCAAGCCCTACGAAGTTGTTGTTGTTGTTAACGAATTCCAAGTCACACCCCACAAAAAACCTCTACAGAGCCATTCTGAAGAACCCTGACAGGAAGCTTCGTTAAACTAACTTAATTATAGCTCCCCCTCGAAGAACTGCATCAACACCTCCAGGTGTTCGGGCCGAACAGATTCTTGGGCTTCCGCTGGCTCCTTCCCTACGTGGCTAGGAGGCCGACAACTTGACTCATTGGGGGGGTTCCTGAAGAGGGTTACATTTCTTCTTAAAAAAAGTCCAATAAGGGGCTCCTTAAAGGGTTCCTACAAGGGGGTTTCCTAGAAGGCCAGAAGTGGGGGGAGGGTCTTGATCGGTATAGGTTCCTGACTGGCTGCACGAGGGCTGGAGCCGTGTAGGCTTAGGTGGGAAGTTTCGAAGAGGCCAAGACAGTCCATGCTTCTGTGATTTCGCCTGAGGCTTCGCAGGCCGCAGGCAACGCGAAACCTCGAAGCCAAGTGCCCAAAGCCAAGCAAACCCCTAAACCCCAAGCCCTTCAAGCCCCTCAACCCTCAACCCTCAACTGTCAACCCCAAGCCCTAAAAGATGAGAGCCTAACCCATCGCCTTAAACAGCCCGAAACCACCCTAAAGCCCCGAAAAGTTATTTTAAATGCCCCAAAGCCATTTGATGCATCGCCAGGCCTACCTGTAACGGGCTCGAGTATCCAATGGTGCTGGGAGCCCGAGGCGTTCGGCGCTTTCGGCGTCGGATCTCAGGTTGCGGGTTCGGGATTTCACAGGGTTTTGGGGTTCAGGGTTTAGGGTTTAGGGTTTAGGGGTTAGGGGTTAGGGTTTAGGGTTTAGGGTTTAGGGTGTAAGGTCCTACACCCCTAAGCCCTAAACCCTCAGACCCTAAACATGTCACCCTAAACCCTTACCCCCTTAAGACCCCTAAAAGTGTTCGCGATTAGGGCTTCGCTTCGAGGCCCCGAGGCGCTGGGGCACACCCCCAACCCGAATTTCCGAAGCCCGACACTGACACTCTGAGGTTAGACAAAAAGGGGGCCTAAATAATTTCCTATACCATTTTGGGGGTTTGGGTTTTGGGGTTTGGGGTTTAGGGTTTAGGGTTTGGGGTTTTGGGGGGTTCCTTAACATTCTTTGAGCATAATGGGCCCCAAAACCCTATTCGAATTATTCAGGCCCCCATCTCACTCCCAAACTCCCAAACCACCCAAGGACAGGTCGCACCCCCTGAGGACCATGAGAGGATGTTTTTTCTTTCCAAACTTATTCCAGCGCTCTTATAAGGCTCTTCGAAGCTCCTTCTGAGACCTAGATGTATACGCATCTTGAACTAAGTGGGACTTTCCGAAAATAGGGGACCTTGATATAAGACGCTAAATTCAAGATCCTTATTATAAGGAGCCCAAAATATTATAAGGGCCCCAAAATAAGGTACCCTAATTTCCGGAAACTCCTATGTGAATCCGTACGTATGTAAGCAAGCAAATCCATGGACAGCAAGAACCGCCGCAAGACTCAGGCAGCATCCACGTCAACATGCCATGTGTATGTTGCTTCATTTGTGCAGGAGGTGTGCATATCTCTCTCCCTCTCTCTGTCTATTGTTGTCTGTCCTGAAGTGTCCGTCCGGCCCTTGCTGACGTACGTGCGCATCTACGTACGAGTCCATACATCGCCGTATCATATATACATATCTCGTCTTGTAAAATCCCACATGAAGCAGAGATGCTTATAATGGTACTCATGCATCTTCTTTCATCTCGTTTACACACCTTTTCCCTGCAGTGTGCCGTCAACCTGACAACCTCGAAGCACCAAACCCGAAACCCGAAACCCCGCACTCCAAACCCTAAAACCCTTAAACCCCAAAGCCTCAAAACCCCACTCCCGAAACCTAAACCCTAAACCCTAAACCCTAAACCCTAAACCCTAAAATCCTAAACCCTAAAACCTAAGCGGCTCGGCGCAACTGTGCGACTGAGGTCCGACTTCCGCGCCTGACTGCAAACGCCCAGCGTGAAGCGATGCAGCTTTTCCGGAGCCGAAAACCCTTTAAATGAGGAATATACCGTGCATGAGGAAGACATCTCAAATGAGGACTATTCCTTACACAAGAGGCCTTTGTATTGAGACATAAGGTATCTAATCCGTAGTATCATCATACAATAAAAAGAAAAGGTACATTCCTCAATCTGAGTACAAGACTTGTGCTTTAAAACCCTAAACCCTAAACCCTAAACCAATCAAGGGGTTGGGCAGCAATGGAGCTGGACCGGTCATCTGAAGCCCTGAACGAAATGCCCGGTTGCGAAGGGTTTAGGGTTTAGGGTTTAGGGTTTCCTGTTTCGGATTTGGGGGTTAACCCCGCATTGAACAATGATAGAACCCTTTGTAGGAGCCAGCACCCCAAGTCCTGAACCCCATAACCATCCCTATACCTATACCCTCAACAACTGATGTGCGCTTGGGCTTCGGATGAAGGCGGATCGTTTTCGCTGCAGGCAATCGTTTTGCGTCCTGGATCGAAAATCGCGCGACCGTTGGAGTGCTTAGATCGTAGACAACACAGGGTTTAGATGTCTGGGGTATAGGGAGTATAGTTATAAGGCCCCCCTAACCCTAAACCCTAAAACCTAAACCCTAAACCCTAAACCCTAAACCCTAAACCCTACACCCTAAACCCTAAACCCTAAATTCTAGTCGTTTGAGATGGTTTTTTTCAGGTCTGGTTGCGCAGTTGCTCCAGGCTCATCTTCATCTCTACATTGTACATCAAGTGGAGGGCTTAGGATTGAAGATCCCATGTGGTACTGTAGAAGTCCGATTTAGGGTTTACTTATTGAGGCCCCTGTCATCTAGAACCCTTATCGTGGCCCTTGAAGATCTCTTGAAGGAGCCCTTAGGGAAACTTAAACCCTAAACCCAAAACCCTTAGGGAAACTTAAACCCAAAACCCAAAACCCTTAGGGAAACTTAAACCCGAAACCCAAAACCCTTAGGGAAGCTTTAGCATAGCTTTGTTCGGTCTGATTCCTAGAAGGCTCAGGGCGCCGATCTTTGCCCTGTGCCTCATCTGCTCCCCCCTTTAAGGGCTCCCTTAAGGGTTCCTATAAAGGGCTCCTTTAAACTTACAGGGGTTCCTGTAAGGGTTCCCTTGAAGGGTTCCTTTAAGGGTTGGCCGTGAGCCACCAAGTCACTTGTAGAACCCCTGTAGGACCCTACAGAAAACCATCCTGGATTCTAGAACCCTGAACCCTAAGACCCCCTAAACCCTAAACCCCGAACACTACAATCCCCAACCCTAAACTCCTGCCTTCTAGAACCCTGAACCCTAGGACCCTCTAAACCCTAAGCCTCGAACACTACAATCCCCAATCCTAAACCCTAAACCCTTGTTCACAACCTGGCCGGCAGCTCAAACATCTCGGAGGCTGAGATGTGTTGAAAGGGATGATCGACAGCCGGGCCGGCCTACCGCAGGCCTGAGCTCCAGGCTCTAGAGGTGGTTTCGGGTTTAGGGTTTTAGGGNNGTTTAGGGTTTGGGGTTTAGGTGATCTCGCGACTGACGCCAGGACTCCAACGCCCCCAAGACCCGAAACTTAAACCCTCCGTTAGGAAGGCATTACATACACATACACACATGTGTGTGCACTTGTTTAAGTACACTGTACACATGTGTTTGCATGAATATACTTACATATCCACGTCTACCTTCATCGATCCATCGATCTATCGATCGATCTATCTTTTCTATCTATCAATCAATCAATCAATCTCTCTGTCTATCTATCTATCTATCTATCTATCTATCTATCAATCAATCAATCAATCAATCAATCTATATCTATGTCTGTATCTAGATCTAGACCCACATCTTTGTCCGTATCTATATCTTTACCGGTATTTATACCTATATCTATATTTGTATCTTCATACAGGCAATACACATAAGTACCAACAAGCAAGAGATAGATACAAGCATGGAGATAAATGAGTCACCAACCAATGACGTAATGATTAAGGAAGGAAGGAAGCACCACACTGAATCAAACAAGCAGTTATGCAACAAGTGGTAAACATTGTGGACATATCGGCACACACAGATAGGTAGATAGGTAAAGCGATAGAGAG